CCTATAGAACAGCAGAGCATGAAACCACTGGATATACTCCAGCAAAGCTTATGTTTGGTCGGGAACTTCGGTTGTCAGTGGACCTGATAACAGGACGCCCATCTTACAAAGAGTTGGCTGAAAACGTGCCAGAGTTCATGAAAGTGTTATCTGAAAGGATGGATGATAGTCACCATCAAGTGCGTTCAAACTTGAAAACGTCTGCTGATTCGATGACGTTATCATATGATAAGTAATCTACTGAAGTCAGCTTTGTACCAGGAGAAAGGCTTTAGCATTATAACGGTCCAGGACATTTCAGTTGGAATGAAGTGAACAATGGAACAAATGACGCTGCTGAAGACGTGTCACCTGAAAAAACCACTGTCGAAGAAGAAACTCTACCCGGATTTGAGAAAGAAAACAGTGAAGCCGTTAATGAAGTTACGACCACTGATGCAACTGTTACCGATAATAGGACATTTCCTGATGGAACAGATGAACCCCACGTGAAGCAGAAGCCAGTGAGACAGATACCAGTACGGAAAAAGATACGTCCTGTAAAATTAAGAGACTTTGTTGTATTTTAATTTTGAGTTTGTAAATTCTGTATATTTAATCAAGTTATTGTTAATTATCTATTGGTTTAATGTAAGTGACTATTGTTCGGGATGAACAATACTAAGGAAGGGGCAGTGTTACGACAGTGGAAGTCACGCGAACTGGGAACATGCGCGCTGGAGTTTCTAGAAGGATCATGACTTATCAAGGAACTCCGCGAATCTCCGAGTGTTTACCAGGCGCCCTCGTTTTTAGTATATAAGCCTGGAATACCGGACTGCTATAGAAGAGATATAGATAGATTGAAGAGATAGATAATTGAGTCAAGCGAACAGAAGGCACCTTAAGTAAAGTGTGTGAATCACTGCGATTTATAGCGTATGTTATAAAGGTTGTTCAGTTTCAAGTGACTGTGGAAATTCTGTGTATTACAAAAAGTTGTATCGAGAAAGAATAAACTAGTTTTAATCAAGAAGGGACTTGTATCGCTGAAGTTTCTCGGAAAGAATTTTTACCGGAAATTATCAAATAAGCAGATATGTAACAATAGTAAAAACTACACATAAAAAAATAAAGATTAGTCTTTAGAAAATGAAACTTTACGAACTTTTAACATGGCTAAAGTTTCCTTTAATTTGCCCCCCCCCCCAGTGGCACAGCGGTATGTTTGCGGGCTTACAACGCTAGAAACCGGGTTTCGATACTCGTGGTGGGTAGATCACAGATAGCCCATTGTGTAGCTTTGTGCTTAACTTCAAACAAATGAACAATCCTTTAACTTGGTGGTGGGCAGAGAACAGATAGCCTTTTGTGTAGCTTAACTACAAACAAACAATCCTTTAATTTGTCAATATTAATTTCCCGAGCCATTTCATTTTCTATGGATATTATTGCTAGACTGTTTAATCTTTTTTGTCCCATTGTGGAACTTTAATCTCGAAAACGATATTTCGCCATATGCCACATTAACGGGAAAAGTTAATAAAATTCTTAGAACAATAAACATACTTGGAAATTTTTCTTTTATTTGGTTTTCACATATTAAAAAATAAGACTTTATCTGGAGTTGAATTTTCCGGTATTTGAGTATTAGAATTGATATTTATTTAAGTTCTGCACTCAAATTTTCACCCCAAACATCCCTTTTCCTTTTCGATGACGAGGAACCCACTTTGAGACTAATAATGGCTGGAGACGGCTTGAATGGGTAATGAAGAAAAACTTTAATATAAGTGTAACATAACAGCAAATGTACAACGTTTCGACAAGGGTACCTGATGATGACAAAACCTTGTCAAAACGTTGTACATTTGCTGTGATGTTAAACTTATATTAAAGTTTTTATTCATTACCCATTCAAGCCGTCTCGAGCCATTATTATCCCTTTTCCTTTTTGATTGTTAATACTTTTTCTAAATCTATTTTTGCGCACCTAAAATTTTGCGGTGGGTTCTTTGAGCCCTTCGAACCCTCTTTGAGTCTGCCCTGCAGATTGATATAATTAATGCCAACTCTATAGCAAAACTGCTTATTTATTGTTCCAAAGCATTGTAATATATCATTCATATTAAATTTATTTTAACATAGGTGGCGCGAACGGTTCCATTAGTAGGGAGTTATATGTGGCAATATGATGAACAGTTTCATCCGCTAGTCACGCGATAGGAGAGTTTTTTCTTGGTATCAGCGGTGTAACTCATACTAAATGATTTTGTTATTAATTTCTTGATGTTGTCAATTAAATTTAGAAATTTTACGCATTTTCATTATTTTCTTTCTAATACGTATAACTATATTGGAACTATTTCTTGTCGATTTCTTTAGACTTTATCCGCCATATTGGATAGTAGTAATTGGTAAGAGGGCGAACCGGGGATTCGTGTGTCGGAAGTGATTAACCGACGTTAATTTTTAAATAACAGAAGGAGTTGAAGTTATTAAAATGACACAACTTTTACCAATACGATTTCAAGAGCATGTACAGGTACTTGTGAAATATATGAAGATAACTGTTTAACCGTATTCCTCAGTAAAAAAAAGTGATTGTAATTTGTTTAAGTTTAACTTAAAGTTTAAGTGTAAATAAATAGTGTATTTGATAAAACTAGACCTTTGACTCTAAGTTATAACTGAACGTTACATTAAATTGATTAATCATTATTCAGCTTATTATAAACACAAATACAGCGTAAATGTATTAAACTGTATTATGTAATTTATAAGTATGTTAAACCTACTGTCACTCCCGTTAGTCGAATTATATGTTATTGTACTGATAAGCACAACAATTAGGTTAAAACTAATTACGCCCCTTTTTAATTAGTACCAGTACTACTGTGGCAGTAGCCTGATCCCCGACCCTAGTTTTTTGACACAGTTGCCGTTTAGAAAATTAATAATACTCAGTTCATTGGTACCTTTGATGTGACGTGCCTTTATTTTGTATTTATTATCATTATAGTTATATTTACATAACTTCTACTCTAGTCTGTTGGTTAGTTGAGCTTTATTTTGAATTTGAGTTTATTTATGCATAATGCTAATTCACGCCTCTTTAAAATTATTGTTTCTTAATGTATTACCAGTGTAAACAAGTATTGGGGTAATTCATTATTGGTCATTTACTAACGTAATGTTACGTCATTGGTCCAAAATTTGCACATTTTATTTGTTATATATCATTGAAGACAACTATAATTTATAAAGAATTTTTATTAAGAATGCACTATCTATTGGTATGTACTGATTTTATTTCTTAAGTAAAAATGGTGGTTTTCAGTATTCCATGGTACATATCTTGTCAAAATTGCCCAACAATCTGCTAGAAAATATCTGAAAGTCATTATATGTGATTTTGTTTTGATAGTCTGTTATTTCAGAATAGTGCATTTATGGTTTTACATGCCTATTGACACAGCTGACATCCATGAAAAAAATCTGGATCATGTCATGTGCTATAATATTGTTTGCAAAAAGAAACTCTTTCTTCATTAAAATGCACAAATGAATCTTATAAAAATTACAGTAAGAATTTGCAAGTTGACATAATATCATGCAGGTGTAATAAATTACCTTGCTAGTTGTTTACACCAGCAGTACATTTTGTGATTATATAAAAGAAAAACTGAAAATGTTTTAACATAAATTGGATATTCTTTAAAACTCAGAAATATTGAGTGATAATTAATTAGAGATATTGTAAGTGTTGTATTATCAAACAGATTTTTTTTATGATTAGATTTGAATAAGTTTTTTTTCTTAACTTTTTGTATCAAGACTATAGTTTTGAGATAGACATTTTTTAAGTTTGAATGTGTTGTTTATAAAAGTCTGGACCTGACATTTTTGAGTTGTGAGCATATTCTGTTTCAGTTGTAAAGGTTCACATAAATAATGTGTTTTGTTTCTAAGAATTCTGGTATTAATGTTTCAGTTTTCTTCGTTTAGAAAAAAGGATGGGTTTCATAGCTACAGTAGTGATATTTCAAAAAATGTGGATTGAAAATAAGTTATTCAAATTATTTTTCTGTAGCTCACCAGTATTGGAATCAATGCTGCCAACATTGGCTTCAACACACTTACCATGGAGTCTGATAAGTACATATGTGTGCGTGAGAAGGTGGGTGACTCGGCTCAGGTGGTTATTATTGACATTAATAATCCAACAAATCCCATCCGGAGACCTATTTCAGCTGATTCTGCTATCATGAACCCTGCTTCTAAAGTTATTGCACTAAAAGGTGTGTGTCTGTTTTTCTTACCTTTTAAGTTCAATAGTATTTCTTTGATTTTTAAATGTTTTTATTGTATAATTGGAACTTTTTTATTGCTTTAGATCATTTAGTGAGTTGGGCAATTAAATGGCAAATGGGTTTAATTATAATAAATGCAAGATAATGCATGTAGATTATCATAATTTGTATTATAAGTTATAATTTGGATGGGAATAACCTTAATAGTGTCATGAAAGAAAGGGATCCTGGTGTAATAGTTGATCAGTCTCTAAACCCATCCAAGCAGTGTGCTGTTGCTAATGGTATTGCACATAGGATTTTAGGTTATATCTACAGAAATATTGAATACAGTCTAAAGAGGCTACAATTTCATTGTATAGGTCACTGTAAGGCCACATTTGTGTTCAGTCTTGGGCTCCTTACCTTAGGAAAGACATTGAATTGTTGGAATGGGTTAATAGAATGGTGCCTGGGATGGAGAGGTTGAAATCTTTAAAATTGTTTTCTCTTCAAAAAAGAAGAGTCAGAGGGGATCTGATTGAGGTGTTTAAGATTGTAAAAGGAATTGATAGTGTTGATTCATCATCTTTTTTCATACTTGACTGTGAGAATAGTAGGACTAGGGGATACAAATATAAATTTTGGCAGGGTAGGAGTCATCTTCAGGTAAGACAGTTTTATTTTTCTAACAGGGTGGTTGGCCTTTGGAATGATTTGCCTTCGGATGATGTAGAAGCAGTAAATTTAAGGGAGTTTAAGAGAGCTTGATAAGTATATGAATGATAAGGACTGGCTTTATGATTTTTTAAAAATTTATTTATTAATAATTTTAGTTTAGCTTAGAAGATGGAACAATAGGTTCTATGTTGTCCCAAAATGTTATGTTAAATAATATAAAACCTAATCAGCACAAAGAAGAATATCAAGGATAAATTTCCTAAGTGTAAGAGGTTTAAATTGACAAATATTATGGAAGATTTACAGAACTATAGAAAAGCTAGGGATTTGGTTAAAGTAATTAGGAAAATAAAATGCTTTTAGAAAAAATAGCTGGTTAATGTTAAAAGTAACACCAAGGATGCTGATGACATGGTTTTTGTTGAAGACATTAAGAGGACTAAGCTTTTTAAGGCTTTCTTCTGCTCTGTTCTTATAAGAGAAGATAGTAGTATTCCCAATCCTGAGCATTGTATGCAAAATATTGGAGTTGAGCTGACTCTTGTATATATTCGTCCCTTAGTAGTAAGTAGAAAGATTATAACTGAGAATACGGTAGGTGATGACAAAATATTTCAATGACTCAAATCCTTATTTATTGAATATTATTGTAATGTTTATCATATTCACAATGTAGGTAAGTAAAAGAAGTTATGTATTGAAAAGAAACTATTTGTAAGATATAATTGATCTCAACTAAGAATATAGTTAGCAGACATATTGCTACCTAGCCTGACCTGACACCATTGTTATAGGTCAGGATGTAAATCATAGATAAATCTTTGTCAATTTTCACTGTATTTTTGTGGCTTGTCATTGGTAGTAGACTACTGCAAGTAAAAGAAATTTGTTAATGAATATCAATCAAGTTGAAACTGATTGTATATGTGGAATGGAACTTTATGACAAAAACAACACCAGCAGCAAAAACAGAATTATAAAATGATAGGAAATATGCTTTTTTTTTCAAAATAGTGGCTCTCAACAGAATTTCATGCTATTTGGCTAACCATTTCCACTTGAAAAAGAAAATATCAAAGGATGTAAATGATCCCCTACCATCACCACCCACCCAGTCTGTAAAGGGTTAATGGAGTCTAAACTTGACCTTTTGCTACTAGTGGAGTGTCTGAGGGGTTAGTGCTTTGGCTTTTTTTATACGTTCATGTTAATGCCTTTTTTTTTTTTTTGTAGGGACATAAATTAAATATTAGTGAAGTGTACAAATAACATTAAACTCTTGGGTATTTCTAGCTGTTTTAAGAATGTTTATATACTATAGGATTACTTGATCAATCAGTTAATTGGACAAATATTTGGCAAAGGACCTATAATTACAGTCAGTGCAAGGTTACAAATTTGGGTAATGATAACTTGGATGACACATTTATTTAATATAGATGGAAGCCCACTCAGTAACATGACAAGAAAAGAATCTTGACATAGTGGTGAAATCATCAAGCTAGTGCTCTGTAGCTAATAGTAAAGCTAATAGAATTTGAGGGTATATTTATAGAGATACTGATTACAAGTTAAAAGAGGTTATCTCCTTATAAAAATCACTGGTTAGGCATCACTTGGAATACTGTGTACAGTTTCAGTTGCCTTACCTAAAAAAGGATATTGACTTGTTGGAAATGGTTCAGATGAAGGCTGCTAAATTGATTCCAGGGATGAAAAGGGGTATCTTAAAGGAATAAGATGAGATCTCTCAACTTTTGAGATAGGAAGTTAACAAGATTTTGTGGGAAATTGATAGGATTAAGGCTTCAGATTTCTTTGTGCTCTATTCAGAAGAAAATAAAATGAGCAAACACAAGTCAAAATTTGAAAAATGACAGGCTGGGAAGCTCCAATTAAGATTAAGTTTCATTTTTTCCAATAGGTTATTTCACTTATAGAATGAACTTGCTTTGATTGTAGTGGAAGTTGTCACTTTAATATAGTTTAAAAGAAAAATTTATAAAAAATGATGGATGAATTTAACCCTTTCCCCATTGGTCAAAGGTAGGCGTGGCAGGAGGGGCCTGATTTTCTATTTGATAGCTCTGTAACCAAACAAAATTGAAGACTATAAAAAATTATGGTTTGTCTGAGCAATGACAATTTTACAGAGTGTAATTTATGTTTAATCCCTTACTTTTTCGAGGGGTGGTGGATAAAATAGGAAAGATGACATGCTAAGAGAAAATGTGTCATGTTTGTCACACTAGGGAAATTGTGGATTTTTTTAATATTGCATAGTAGAATTAAGAACTTGTATACTATTAAACTATGGATTATTAGTTAAGAGTTTATGCTATTCTAATTGATATAACATAAACAAAAAGTAGTTTAATAAAAGTTTGAATGTAAGACACTAAAATCTTGTGTCATGTGCAGTGAAGGATACCCATGGTGATAGGGTTAAGCAGACAACCATTCTTCCTGAAATTAGTTTATGTTCCAGATATACCTTAACTAAAAATTAACACACTTACTTTATAAATATTAAAAAACAACAACACCTAAACATCAATTTTTGTGTGTCACATGGTATGTTGAATGCAGCACTTGTTCACATTAGATGTTAATGATGTTAAAAGACAAATTTTGTAGTTTTGTACAAATTAAGAACTCAAATTACTGATATTGACAAGCTAGAATAAAAAATATGAACCTCCTATCTTTTCTATTTGCTGAGATTTTATTCATGTACTGAATGAAATGCAGCGGCCCTGCTCACCTCTCTCCATGTTTGGAAACGGTCTCTTATACATACATATTTCTATATATGACATGAATAACCAATCGAAAGCTCAGATTGGCCACCTAGTGGCATTCTCATCCATTTCAAAGTTTAAGACACTATCTCATTCTTTCGAATCAAGATTTCAAGGAGGTAAGTTGTGTCTATAGGGTGCTTGAAATTTCTTATTTTTTTAGACTGAAATACAGCTTAGTTACTAAGCTTGATAAATTATAGTGGAATTCTGTGGTATCTGTATAGTAACTTATGATTTTTTGGTTATTCAAATTATGTATAAAACCAAAAAAAAATATTGTTTCACATCCTCCACCTGCAAAATTTCTTAAGGCCTAGCAAGCTATGACAAGCAGCAACAGAGTACAAAGGTTGGAACTAGAAGAGATAATTATTCGCTTTACTTCTTTATTTACTGCTCTGTGTTTTAAGCAAAATAAGATTAAGAAGTTATTTGTAAATTGTAATAGTATATATCTGTATATATATATATATATAATGTATAATAATTGAAAATGTGACTGTGACAAAATACTAGCTCACTAAAACACAATCAAGTCAGGTCACTTTGTAGAGACAAAGGTCAGTTTTAGTTTAATTGGATATGGTAACATGAGTACATGTGCTCTGCATCATTATAACTTCTGTATTGTTAGCAAGGCACGGCCTAAAGGTTAAGATAATAAAAATACTAAATATATATAAATATATATATTGTTAGCCAGGCAAGGCCTAAAAGTCAAGATAATAAAAATACTTAATACATATAAAAGTATAATGTTATGAGATTTAAGCTATTTATGTTTTTATGTTAATCTGTAGTCAATCTAGAACAAAAAAAAAGGTATAATTTGTATTTCTTAATTTATTTATGGTGGTTACGAGATCTGTCAAATTGCCCAATCCCATTGTCAGAATTTTAAATATATATTATATTTCACCAATTGTCAAAATAAGAGGCTTTTACTTATACTTCTTAATAGTATAAATATATACTGTGTTG